TCTCCCATGGTGAAGGATCTTCTTACACTGGTGAGGTAAATAACACCTCACTACTTGGTAGATGATAGCTGTCCACAGTCCTCTGCTTGGGAGCCTGACCTTTTTGATTAGTGCAGGGGGTACAGGACAACTTTTAAAGCTCTGTGAATTGTGTGCTACCAGTTGCTGAAATTAGATAGTTGCAGTTTGGAAGTAAGCAGACTCCAGCTTCACTCTGCTGGAAAAGAAACAAAAGGACTGTCGTTATCTAGCTGTCTTCCGCAGGTAGTCAGGCAACTAAAGTCATCATTTATATGTTGTCAGGAGTACTCACCAAATTTATTGACTTGCACATTATTCTCTGCAAATAACTTCTAGCTGCTCTCTTCATATTATAATTAAAACAGCAAGGACTTTAATCATTTATGAAATTTTAAACTACATACTGAATATAAATGTATCATTCAATGTGATAGAATGAATTAAATTCATCATTGTCAAATAAATGTATGAAAGATGAAATATCTTTCATCCCACATCATTATCCAACAAAAAGTCTGTTTTCCAAGACTGTAGTATAGCATATGGTTTGTATCATCTTTAGTGCATTTCCAGCAGATGAAAGAATTTCAAAATACCTTTAAGAAGTACATTTTTCAAGGATTGCATTTTTAATAACACCTAGCTTAGACCTTAAAAATGTTAAATGTTAAAAATGTAAAATCTGACCACAAGGAAGCACTTGCTCTTCATCAGTACTGAGTGGTGTCACCTAATGTGCAAGTTGTGTACAGACTTTCTTTCATTACCTGGTGAAATGGTTTCTGACAGTCCCATGTCTTTTATGTACAAAAGAGATGGGCTGCTCTTTGCCTTTTGCTCTGCTGTCCCACTGAAACTATGTCCTAATGCAGAATCTATGAAGCTGTTGGAAGTAGAGGACAGATTTGGTTTGAGGGGAACTCCAGCATTAGTGATGGAAAAGAGGACCTGGCACTGCAGCTCCCACACAGTCACAGTGCTGTGACACTGAGCAAAACATCTATCTCTAAGAGTAGTCTCCTCTGCCTTCTGTTGATTTTATGTGGTCATAAGATTTGGAAGTGACTCCAGAGATCATTCCATGAGGTCATGCTTTCTTCAGAAAGAATCAATATGGGAAATAAAATATGGTAAAATGTCTCATTTGTCTCATGGAGCTGTCCCTGAAAAAACCTCATCCAGCTTCTATTTGCCCTTCCACATTTTCACAAAAACAGCTGAAGACCAAACTCAGAAAAACTCTTTCTAAAGACATGACTGATACCTATGCTTTTTGAAACTGTTATCCTGTCCTGAAACTTTTCCTTTCTCAACACCTTATATCCATGTTTTTTCTTGGAATCAGTTTATTGTTCTGCATCTGATTCTCATAGACTCCTGTGAGTGCCTCCTGTCTTCTCTGTTTCCCCAGTGACTCCTGCAAATCATCTTGTCATTACAGATGAACAAGTGGGGAGTTTCATTCTTGAAAACTGAAGCAGCAGTTCTGGAGTCTTGTGCCCAGAAAGTGTATAAAGTGCCAACACCAGAGAGCTTCTCCCTACACCACCATCCTTTGGGGGGTGGGCAGTCCTCTTGAGTAGATGGACTGTGACAGACTAATTTTTTTCAGTCAATTACTTATAGATTAAAGCTTTTGCATGCTGCACACTTATCTTTATAGAGGAGCTCATACTGTATAGATCATTGAACAGTCATCAGATGGTGTATTTTGGACTCCTGTTCGAAACACCAAATTGCCAAAATGATTCTGCAGAGAGGGCTGGATCCAGCCTCAGTTCATTACAGGTGTAGATTATATTAAAATCACTGACCTACAATTTATTCTGAGTTGACAAATACTTAAATTAATGAAGCAATCACTGACTTGAAAGACTCCAGCAATATATTCTGAATTCAGAGTTAATATGCCAGCAAAAAGAAATTAACAAAATAAAATGTATTTAATGTTTCTCATTTGTTTTAGAGACATCACCCTCCTTTTTCACAAGTAGTATAAATTAGATGCTTTTTCACTGTATGTATTATTTGTATAGCATTTGGCCATATATCAGGATGAAATACAGTTCTCTAATTAGCTTCTTCCACGTACTTACAGTTACCCCAGGCTGCTGATCACCCATATGAAAGCAAATGTGGCCCTGGTGATTGTTTGTACATGCAATTGGATAGCCATGGTAAAAATCTTTCTAAAGCTTTCTTGTGGCTCCCAACCACAGTGTGGGCAGTAATCATCAGAGACAATTCACAAGAATCAAGCAGTTTGCTTGTTTTGGTGAAGCACACATAATGAAAAAAGACATTTTAGGCCTAATCATAATCTTTCTAATAGCTTTATGATGGGTTTCCTTTATATGGAAGAATTTTATTAGGTCAGAAATATAATTTTCATGATAATTCTCAAAATAAAAAAAGAGAGTAGAAGTAAAGTACATTTGCTAAACTCTTACAGTTCTTTTTCTCTTGCTTCCTAGTATAATTTCAAAGACTAGAAGGTGATGTTGTATTCCTTCGTGTGCTGTTTAAAGTCAGGAGCGGCAATATTTAGCACATGCTTGGGCAGCCGTGTTTGAAATCCATGTTTCCTCTCTCTGGTGTTCTGATGTGCCTTTAGGGGATGCTTGCCTGTTTGTAGTTTGTTTTCTTTTGTTTAAGGTTTCAGCTACTGCATTGACTAATGATTATATAGCAGTAAACTCTCGTCCCTGCTAAATTCAGAGGTAATGCCTCAAAAGCATTTTTCCCCTGTGTGACATAAAACAATAAAAGAACTAGACAATCCCCTTTTGAGGAAGAATAATCCTTTGTTTAAAGAAAAAAAAAACAACAAGCATCTTCTTGATGCCAGAGGGTGTAAAATTCAAATCAAAGATTAAGCTAATTGATAAAAATAAAACAAATGTCTCACAGTATAATCCTCCTTAGGCAGACCTAACATTTTTTGCATTAACAAGTCTCCAATATTAATCATCTCATCTCTGTTGTTTGGTATTATATTACAATTGGTTTTGAACTATGTAGTATCCATTTGATACAGAGGTAACATGGGACATACCAAATCTGAATTTCATCTCACTTGTAACTCTAAAATAAATTTCTGTCCTTCAGTAATGTCACCTCCATAGAGGACTGATGGGACCTTGTAATTCAGAGATGAAAATCAACTCATTGCTAGTATAATTTACCTGTATAGTTTCCTATATTTAATATAAAAAATTATAAATCTATAATTTTAAGAGGATTTTGGAAAAAAACCCTTACGTATTCTCACTGAGGCATTAATTTCTACATTCAGCTAACCTATTGAAGAATTTAAAAAAAAATTCTAATTTTTCTGATTAGTCAGTCACTTAAAGAGAAAAAAAAAGAGAAAGAAAGAAGTTAATGTGCTGTTTAATTACATACTGCCAGGATCTTCTGAGCCTTTCTATAATGTGTGATAAATTCAGCACTGCCAATTTAGATCTGTTGTTTGCCTAAAATATTAGCAAATAACTATGAATGAAAAGTTGGTTCAATTTGGAAGAAAAACTCACAGCAAAGAGGAGAAAGTGAAATGTGGTTAAACTACCATTTCAGCCACAGTCTGCAATTGTTGAATATGTTTGTGTTGAACATTTTTTTTTCATTAGTAGGAGTTTAAAAGCAATAATTATTCACAGCTTCCTTTTTATCTAAGTAATACCAGAGGTATCAGAGATCAGTTTTGTATTTATCTTTCAGTAGACTTTTTTTTTTCCGTTTCTATTTTTTTCCTACTGCCTGTACTTCTGGGCTTGCAGCATAAAACTGAAGGGACAATTAGCCCCTGATGCAAGTGCTATTGCTGACATGTCTGAATAAATATAGAGTAATTATAGACTAGATATCCAGGATTGCAGTCTGTCACATCTTTCTTATTTAGCTTGGTTTGTGGAAGTGGCATCACAGCCACTCTGGTAAGCATGCACCCTAACAAAAGCTAGAGAGTTTCTGTTTGTAGGCTGGAGCCTAGTCTGCTCTTTTGCAATTGATTATGTCCTGAGTTGGCAATGAACACAAATACAGTGACTGGGTTGAGTCTTATGATAATTTGAACCATTACGTAAACATAATCCAAAAGATAGACCAGAAACTAGTCAAAATTGGGCACCAAAAGCAGATATTCCCAGTTTGAGCATAATGTTTAGTCTTGTTCACAGTGAAACAAAATGAACTGCTTCAGACACAGGTGCAAAATTACAGCACTGCTATGGGCAAAAGCAGTATGCGCAGCCTAAAACCATGCCTTCCCTGACTGCTTTCAGCATATAAACCCTGCTCTCAGTGGGAGCACCTGTGTCAGGACCAATGAGGAAAATAGATGCATGTTGCAAACCCCCTCTGGTGTTTGTTACTCAGTATGAGCATCACCCAGATTGACCCAAACATGCAAGAATGACTGACCACAAAGTTACTTAAGAAGAATTGCCTTATGCCCATTAGCCTAATGTTTTGTGGGGAGTCTGAAGTCTATAAAAATGTTCATATTCGTAGAAATTAGGCATCAAAGCTGCCACTATATTCTCTCTGCAACGAGTTTTTAACATTTTGGAGATTTGCTCTTTTGCAAAACCACTTACTCCACAAAGGTATAAAATATAGCACTTAATGGCAATGGTACATTTACTCAAGTGCATTAGGTAGTTCTTCCTTCTCCTTCTCTTCCTGCTTGATTGGCAGCCAGAGATCCTGGATGCAGCACTATAGGAGATATTGTTTATAGCCAAAGCAGCAGGATCTGGCACCAGAGAGGACTCCACAGGCATTTGTATTGATGGTGGCTTTGCAGTTGCCTCTGGGTCTTTCATGTGGCTGGGCTGATGAAAGCTATCTGGGCAGTTATATGCTCTTGGAAACCATTTCTTTTTTCACTGACATTTTAAATGCTTGTGGTGATTAACTGTTCGTGTGTAGAGAATTTTAAATCCTGCACCACAGTGAGTCACTACAGAGGCCACTGGCACATGGTGTACATCTATATTTCTCTTTTCTGCCTAAAATCCCTTTCCTGTATTGGTTCAAACATTTGTTTAACTTCATTTGGACATGTTTGCGGTGCAGCTCAGAGGAAGGAAATTTGAGGCTCTATGTACAGAGCGAGGTGAGGTGTTAGTCCCGGCTTTAGGTCCCCTTCCCTGAAATAGCTTGGGGGACTCCATTCCGCACATCTCAAGATCCAGGAAGCTGGTTGCACATTTTGTAGCAGACAAGTAAAGTCGTGGATAGGCCCTGGGGTTTTTTTTCTCAGCCTCTGCATGTATCTTGTTCCACAGAGAGCTGAGTAAGGAGAGAAAAGGGTAGTTCCTTGGCCCACAATGGTATTCCATAGGATAGTCCATCCAAGTGGCTGGCAACACACTGCTTCGTGGTGTTATTTGAGATTCTCTGCAAATTCAGGCACGTGAATTGTCTTAGACAAAAAGCACAAAGGAATCACACATTTGAAGAAAAAAACCCTAGATCCAGATCTCTGGGGGTTATTACTCTTCACAGTGGCAGGAGTTACAGCCTGTGTTGTACCTTTGATCTCAATGAATGTATTCCTCTGCTTTAATGTTAACATAGGTGTAAGTTTGTGTAGGATTGAAGAGTATAACTGTTGAATGAAATGGTCAGCAAGTAAAGTAATGTCATATAAACCAAATGTTTTGCTCTTCATTAGACAAAAAATTTTTTCTTTGATTGTATTCTAAAAGATTAATTCAATAATTTACATATTCCCGGACTGTTACAGAAGGAATGACCAAATCTCTACTCCACAGTTTTTTCTTCAGATAAATATTTAGCTGATGTGTACTGGATTTCATAGTCATGTGAGTTGAACTTTAGAGCAAAATTTAGCCATATTTTCAATTTTTACCCAAGTAGTATCAAAACTGTGAGAGACTTCAAGAGTCTAGAGATTTTCTTACACAAGTGTAAGTTTTGTTTTGAAAGTATTTTACAAATTTACATTTTAATGTTAACTCATGTATCACTAAAATTAATTATGTTTAATGTTATCTTTAATCTATATTTATCTTTATTTATCTTTTATCTATAAAACATAAAATATGTGAGTTCCCAAATCCACAAATCAAACTTTTAAAGTGGATAACCTGAAATTTTTTTAAAAGTTAAGATCCTGTAGCAAAACTGAGGAAAATATTAAAAAAAAAAAAAAAAAAAAGAAAAAAAAAAAAGAGAGAGGAGTTCCACATACTTGTGAACAACTGTTCCTCCATTAAAATCACCATGGGGTGTTCAAGACAAACGTTTCACTGTATGTTGCAGACTTCCATTAGCTCTGAATAAACCTGGAAAAAATCCTGGTTTGCTGTATGTGGTAGATGGATTATGGCAAGCATCTTGAATTCTTCCTGTAGACCTGCTGCTATCCTTCCATTTCACTGGAAACCAAAGCTGCTTCATCTCCATTACAAGAGATATAATGAAAGGAAAAGGAGAGTGAAACGTTGGCAGACAAACACATTGAGAAGAAAATACAGGAAAATCATATTTAATTATATAAATATTCTCCATACAGAATCACATTTTTGTGGGTCTTTTTGAACTTCAGGATGAGCAGAATCAAATGCAATTAAATTGCATGCTGTATACTGATCTACAAAAGGAGGTTTAAAGACTTGCAAGGGACAGATTTATTTTACAAATATAGTAGTCATTTAGCTTGCTGACGTTTTGTTAAGTTCCCTCAGCATTATTCTTTTTTAGAAGTGATTCCTTTCAAACTGAGCAGCTTCTCCATCTCTTAAGTATTATGGTGACATTTAACAGCAACAAACCAACTAACAAATTCTTTTTTGTTAGGTTTTATTAGGACCCTTTGGAAAATTCCACTGAATCATTAAATCTTCAATACGTTGGATCAGGTTTTTCTTGTTTCAATTTGAACAGGACTCCTGTTGACTTCAGTGGGAATTCTGTCTGAGAAAGTCTCACACTTTGGTTTAATTACTTACTAAAACTCAATCAATACCTTATAAATTAGTCTGATACCAAAATATCAACAGTATGACTCCCTTGAAAGAGTTGTAGGAGAGAAAAAGCAGAAAAAGCTTGCTGAAAAAAGTCTGGATTCATCAAGCTGTTCTGTGGAAGTGTATTGGGCCCAGTGACATCTTACTTTGAAAAACAGGAGGCATTATTTAATTTAAAAAAAAATCAGTAAAGTCTATTTAGGTTTTATCTGAAATACAGTCTTTATTTTTTGTTTGTTTCCATATTTTCCACATTTCTTTCATCAATATACATTTATATTTTATCAATTTCTACTGTATTGTATTATCTGAAGGTTTTTATTTTTTATTTTCTGTTTTAATTATTCTTAAATAATATAAACTATATAAAATTATTCTTTTGAAAACATAAGCTGCCACAACTTGTATAATTTTCCACCTCTCACTGTGGAAATTCCTGGGAAAATCAAAGCAATGAAACTTTATTTTTAAACTGCTAATTTTAAGTTTAGTTTAGTTTAAGGTAAGTTTAAACTTTTAAATTTAAAGTTCAGACTTTCAATCGGGTATATTTTTGTCTGGGATATGATGTCAATCCACCTAGATAGTGTAATCTGTCAAGGAAGAGGAGAGACACAGAAAAAGCACTAAGACTTCTGAGCATTTCTTCAGTTGTCTGAGACATAATAAATAGCTCTTCTTATTGATATACCCTTTTGAGTTTGCCTTCATTTTTCCTTTGGTAGTAACAGAGTCTAACTCCAAAGAAACTTCCACCATCCACCCAAACTATGATTTCTTGATTTTGAGTGGAACCCTTCAACCTGAGGAAACTAGGGTGATTTTTTTTTCTGTACTACTGAATATTTTGTTGGTATAACTCCATTTAAAGGTGGTAGAGATCTGAAAATTGCTGTATGTTTTTACTAGTTTCTACTGAATTAAGTGTAAGAACTTCTCCTTGTTTGCAAATATGTGACAGATGTGGCTTTTCATGCTTCACGCAGATTTGAACTGTCTTTGAAGTTCTGTGTTCCATCAAGTACAGTGATACTGAAATTCAGCTATATATACGTTTATCTGCAGGAAGACAGTGATGTCTCAGAGGTTTGGATCCAGACAGGACAGAGATGTGTCTAAGTAATTCTATTAGTGAACTCATGTGCTCCTTTAACATATATCTGACTTTTTTGAACTTCAAATTTTAGCATCAGATGTTCAAAACCTACCTAGAATTTGTCAAACTCTACTTTTGTGTAAGTCAATGGAGTTTGGTCAAAGATTGCATATAGCCTTAGTTTAAGTGCTTCCTACTGTCCTAGAAAGTACAACTGTATTACAAGCTGTGTAATATGTATTGTGTGAGTAATTCTAGGGGAAATGTGTATTGAGTATGCACAGTATGATAACTCTTTTCAATAAAAAATCAAAGAATTACAGAATGAAATAATGGCTGAGGTTGGAAGGGACCTCTGGAGGTCATATAGTCCAAACACCCTGCTCAAGTCTGGTGTCTGGGACCACGTCCAGAACAGTCCTTGAATATGTCCAAGGATGGAGATGACTCCACAGCCTCTCTGGGCAACCTGTGTCAGTGCTCAGTTGCCCTTACAATAAAAAAGTGTTTCCTGATGTTCAGAGGGAACCTTCTGTGTTTTAGTTTCTACCCATTGCCTCTGGCTCTGTCACTGGGCACCACTGAGAAGAGTCTGGCTCCATCCTCTATGTACCCTCCCTTTAGGTATTTATACACACTGATAAGATCCCCCCCGCTGAGTTTTTTCTTCTCCAGGCTGAACAGTCGCAGCTCTCCCAGCCTGTCCTCATATGCAAGATGCTCCAGTTCCTTCATCATCCCTGTGGCTCCTCATTGGACCCTCTCCAGTGTATCCATGTCTGTCTTCTACTGAGGAACCCAAAACTGAACACAGCACTCAGGTATGGTCCCACCAGTGCCAAATAAAGGGGAAGGACCTGCTGGTATCACTTTTTCTAATGCAGTTAAGGATACCATTTACCTTTGCAGCAGGTACACGTTGCTGGCCCATATTCAACCTGGTGTCTATGAGGAACTCCAGGTCAGTTTGCCAAGCACCTTTCCAACAGCTATGTCTAACGTGGTATAGATAGATCATTAATAACTTTTTTTGGTGTAAATACCTTGTTTCCTAAGACACACTGTATCATAAAATGTTGGCCTTGCAGTTTGTTCTTAGTGAGTTCCTTACAAGATTAGAGTTAAGGACATTCTTGTTTCTTTCACTTGAAGTTTTGAAGATGTTACTCAGCTGTGGTGCAGTTCAATTCTTCTGATCTTTCCTATGAAGGGGATAATATGAAAAAAAGGGAGTCACTTCAAAATCCTACAAAGAAAAAAAACTTAACTGTCACACTGGCACATTGTAGAAAGCTCAGGTATCATTACAGCTGATATGGTTAAACATGCTATCATTGGTCTATAGTCAACTAGGCTCCTCTTATAGATACGTTATTTCAAAGCACTCCACTTCCAATGTACACACAAGGCAGTATCCAGATCTACTTTAGAAAGTTCATCTTCTATTAGTCATGACTAGTGAGCCATTTTATTTCAGCGTTGCAAAGAGCATTTCTGATCATGATTTCGTTTATAGTTGATGAAAAAAGGTACAAGCTCAGTGTTAGAACCAACAATAAACAGCCTCAGCACAGGCATTTTCCTTTTCACTGGTGTAAGACTGCTGTTTAGAACCAGGCTGCTGAACTGGGTGGATCTTTTTACATTCGTGAATATTCTGGTCATGAGTGCTGACTACATGATCATAAACAGGGTGGAAAACAATGTGAATTGTATACCAATTTAAAATTTTTATGATGTATTCAATTGAAAACAAGGTGAGCTGGCTGGGTCTAACCTTGTTTGGCTCATCTCTAAAATGAGGTTCATATGCTTACCTAATGAAACCTACAGACAACCTAAAAGTGACTTTAAAGACATTATTTCAGATTCATCCCTTGTTTAGAGGGCTGAAACCTAATTCAGAAAAGTGCACTAGTTGAAGCCAATTAAGCTATATATTTTGAGGTGTTCCTGTCTAGATAACATCAAACGTGTAAATGTACATCTTTAAATAAACTTGTGAATATTGTTCTCAGATACTCTTGAATCAAGATTATTCTTCTACCATTTTTTCTCTCCTTTCTGGCACTCTCTCACATGCATTTCTTGGATTTCCTGCAGTCAAATCAGAGTGAGTTGGGAAAAAGAAACTCAGTTTGTGCCTGTTGAACCAAATCTCAGTGTTTGGAAGAGTGAAGTGGGATGTCAGTGTGAGACAAGGAGAAGACCAGGACTATATTTCTAATTCACAAACTTGATGCTTCAGTGTCTAAACAGTCAGAGTCACAGAAGTTGAACTCATTTTGCCTAGCTTTTGCCATCTAAAATTGGTAGATCTAAGGCTGATCTCATCATTCTGGGCTTTATGGATTACCAATAAGGAGAAACAACACCTTCAGAGAACAATTAACATCATTCTACATGGTAAACCCGAGCTGTCTGGATGTGCTTTTGGAAGTCAATTAATTTTTCCGTGATGATTCTAAAGTACCATACATCACTGGTTCAGACTTAAATATTCAAATTCTAGACATCTAAACTGGGGGCAAATGAATCCTGGGGGCAGATGAATCCTGCTTGAAAAGTTCATCAGAAGTAGTTTTATTGTACATGACATGCTCACAACAACTATATATATCTATATCTATATATATCTATATATATATCTTGGGTAAATTTGAAGGTCAGCTCGGTTTCTAAATGTATCTAACTTAGACAAATTCAGAGTGGTATATCATTCAATTTTGAGTCCCTGACTACAAGAAAGACATTGAGATACTAGAGCAGGTCCAGAGAAGAGCAGTGGAGCTGGTGAAGGGTCTGGAACATAAGTCTTATGAGGAGTGGCTGAGGGAGTTGGGGTTGTTCAGCCTGGAAAAAAGGAATTTCAGGGGAGACCTCATTTTTCTCTGCAACTAACTGAAGGAATGCTATAGCAAAATGGGGATTGGTCTCTTCTCCCAGATAACAAGCAACATGATGAAAGGAAATGGACTTGGCATGTGCTAGGGAAGGTTTAGATTGGATAATAGGAAAAAACTCTTCATGGAAAGGGTTGTCAAACATTGGAATAGTCTGCCCGGGGAAGTGGATGAGTCACCATCCCTAGACATGTTTAAAAGATGTATAGATGTGGCACTTTGGGACATAGATTAGTGGTGGTAGACTTGGCAGTGTTAGGTTTATGGTCAGACTGGATGATATTTAAGGTCTTTTCCAGCATAAAGGATGCTATGAATTTTACGATCTATGCTTCTCTAGTGTCCGTACATGCTGTATTTTAGACTATATATCAGCTTTAGGAACGAGGCACCTAAAGTCTAGGTTCATACTAGTAGACTTGTTGGGTCAGGGACTCTTCTCTGATTCTTTAAGTAAATGGCACAGCACAGTTAGTTACCCTTATACGTAGTGGATGGATCTACAACAGATAGAGAGCAGTCTTCAACTGGTGCTGTTCCCCGAATTGTGTTCAGGCATTGCGTTGGGGGAACCATGCAAATAGCTATGCCGTGAAGCACAGCAACATTTGTACAGCACTAGTGCTTGAGCCAGTGATCCAGACATCTACAATTTTCTGGCATACAGGCTCCGTTGTTTCCCAGATAGGTCCTATTGTATATAGGCTCTGTTGTTTTCCCACTAACTTGGAATTTCCTGAAATTTTGAAGGTCTAAGCATTGCATAAAAGAGAAGGGCAGAAGGGTTCCTTAATCTTCTTTCACAAGACTGAGGTTGGACACTTCTTTTGTATTCTCAAGTTGCAGATGACAGAGCTGTAAGTCCCCAGATTCTCAGCGAAGCTGTAGCTGTTTTAGCTATGCTCATTTGTGATGCTCTAATGGGGTTTGATTTCTCAGTTGAGAAAAGGAATAATTGATTGCATTCCTCCGTGTTCCTTCTTTAAGCATAAACTCATGAAACTCTCTCCTGGTTCTTCAAACCATTAGTATTTTACAGTCGTTGGCCCTTTCAGAGAGGAAGCGAACACCCTGGTTGCTGGTGACCTGGTAGTTCTTTGAGTGTCATAGTGCTTTGGTTCTTCAACCTTGTGCAAAATAGCCCAGCTGTAGCAGTGTTCACTCAATGTGATCACCTCCCTCTCCCATCTTTCTTTCTTTTGCAAGCTTCTCTCTGTTCATACAAATACTGATTTTCAATACCCAGAGCTCTTGTTTGACTCTGCTTATTTCCGGTTTCAAATTTACTTGTCTCCTTCTCTCTGTCTCCCACCTTCTGAAGGGTTTATTCCCCCTGCCCTGAATATTTCTCTAAGTCTTGCTTCTGATTTTGTTCTTCTGTGCAGTATAATTTTTTCTTTGGCTAATTTTATTCTAGGGTCGCAAAGTAGAATGTTCTTTACTGCTGTCTCTATTCTCATCCTACCTTTACAGGGCTTTTGCTGCTGTTGAATAATTAATATTTGCTAAAGTCCACATTGGTAATGTTGAAAAAAGGTTAAAATATGTTAATAAACCTGGGAAAAGTACAGAGGAAAGCATATTGAAATGAGCTATGCTAAAATGCTATTCATATATAATGGAGTACGCTCCTAAAGAAAGTAGATATAAATGGAGATAGATACATAAAACTGACTGTCAGTTTTATGCCTAAATATTCTGTGATTGAACCTCCTCATTCATTCCTGTTTAAAAATATGCTATAAGTTTTCTTAGAAGGTGTACAAAAGATTACAGATTGTTTTTGAATGCTGCTTTTATTAGATTTAATGATTTATAGCTAGGTGAATAGGATTATATTCTTCTGTAGGAATAAATTCTTATACTGTATTCTGCAGTGGGTGATACCATCTACCAGTAATTTGGTAATTAAGAGTTTTGCACTGTTAATCCAGCACTTTCTGTCCTTGATAAAATCATTTTTTAAACTATTTTTTTCCATTTCCAGTTCAGGAACAGTTTGCTAAAATACTGCCAGAGTCTGTGGTCTGTATGACTGATTAAATGAACTTCCTAAATATAATTTAAGGCATTAATGATAAATGAGTACTATTTCTATCTGCTCTTTCAGAAGTTTAAATTGTTTTAAACAATTAAAGTGCCTAAAAAGTCTACCTGGATCCTCCTAGGATCAAGATATTTAGAGAAAAGGCTCTAAATCATCAAGTGAATTTTCCTTTTCTTACATTGCACATATCCTAATGACCTTTCCTGAGTTTTGCTTACTGATTTCCCTAAAAGGCAGTCTCTTTCTCAGATCATTTTGATTTGAATAGACAGACATAAAAAAAACCTGCACTTTATCAAAAGAAATGTCCCTTGGAATTTTTCAAGGGTTATGGTCTTTATGCTGTATTTAATCACAATTTTTCACCTGGATTAAAAAGCATTATGACTTGGATTTGGGACTGTGCTGGTCTGGTCTCCTTATAAAGTTTCACTGTGAAAAAAGAATAGTGAGAAAGATATGATTTTCTACATACATATATATGATTTATATATGATTTAAGGAAATTGTTTGTCGGCTCCTTTTGTGGTAAAACCCTTTAGCTTTTGCCTCCCCTTTACTGAAAGCATCTTCTCAGTCGGTAACAATTTGACTAACATCTACTTTTTAATTAAATGTTGCAGCATTTAGGAAGATGCATGCTAATCTGGGCCCCAGATCTGCAGTCCTCAGCTTTACAAGATGCTGCTCCAGCAGGGGCCGTAAAGCTCTCGATAAGAGGGGTAAGGAGCAAGGTGCAGGTCCCACAGCGATAACCTCCTGACTCCGACATTATGGGTCTTTCTACCGGAATTGAGTTCTACATCTTCCTCGATTGGTTATTGTCACAAATGAGTAATGGATGCACCCTGCCTGCGTCCCCAGGTACATGAGCCAGTCCATCAGGCCATCGGGAGGCACAGCTGCCAGCCACGGGGGCAGGCAGATAACAGGCAGACCGCAGGAGAGATGTTAAAGGCGCCGCCACCACCGGGACTCCAGGCGAGTACCTGCTGCTCTTCTGAGTAACTACCTGCCTGCAACTACCCCTTCCACCACTTTGCATGGGCATTAATCAAGCTGTTCCCTGGGACTGTTGTAGGAGACCAGATAAGGCGGAACAAACAAATCAAAACTAGAAAGCGGCTGGAAAATGTGCATCATTCAGGCCATGCTTAGGTTATTTTATTTTGTTCTATTATTCAAAGGGGGAAAATGTTCAGGATACCTCATTCACACTGGAAATTACTGCTAAGAAAACACATATACATGAAGACTTACTAATATAGTATATAATATATACTATATAACATTTAATACAATTTCATTATATATTATTATCTATGAAAATATATAATGTACATAATGTATCATACATATACATATACACATATATATGTATATAAAATTAAGCCTTGCAACATTGTCTAGCAACCTGCTGAGTTGCAAAACGCACTTGTCATTTTTTTTGCTGTCAACAATGATAGTAAAAAAAGTAAGTGGTATTTTAGTAAACCTGTCAGGGAATAGACTCATGCTGACTGAGAAGTAAGTAAGTAAATAAGACTTGTGTTTTAATTTATCAAGCATGTTTCTTTGAAAGGGGTGTGATTTGCATTGCTATCTCTAGTGTAAAGCCTTGACTGGAGGTTTTCTAGAGCACACATGATAAAGAGAGTTTTTGTTTAACATACCAGGTAAATTTGAAGGTCAGTTCAGTTTTGAAATGTATCTAACTTAGGCAAATGGTCCACATGTCTTTCCAGTGGTGGACATTTCTAATATTTCACTGTCTAATATAATAGTAATATCATCTGTAATTCAGGAAATTCCATTTTGTTATCATGTTAATTGTTGGAATAATAATGATTTGTAATGCAAACCTCAAGAAATTTCCTTTCAAAAGTGTATAATTAGAATCCTCATCAAGGCCAGATTTTCTAAAGAACATAATTTCTGATTAATCAACTCAGTAGATGTTGGTCGAGTTTCCAAAACTGATCAGAAGTCAGTGTCTCAGAGAAAAGCAACAGGACAGTGATGTTGCAAGCTCCTTCAGTATCTATTCATAACTATTATTGTGTCTATAAGCATAACTATATGTGCAATGCTATATTTCTGTAGGATTTGATTCATCCCGTTTGGCAATGCCCAAACTTAATAGAAAGTGTTATACAACACTTTGTCACACAGAAGAAAACGTATATATTATATCGCAGAAAACACATCTGGTATTCCTCTTGATTAAAATGGCAAAGGGATTTTTGGACTATAAGGAAGAAACTCCCAAATAGTTTTGGTACACATCACAAATTTAGCAGGTATGTATTCTGTGGGAGAGAAAAGGTAATGACAGAGCAGATGGAAAAGCAACCAGGAAAAAGTAAAAGTTCCATACCACTAGAATGTTGCTTTCAGAACCACAAAATAGTTTATTTATGTCTTTTTTTCTTTCTATGGTGGCTCATAAGTACTCTGCGCTTAGATATTTCCTTAAAGCATTGTTTCAGAATAGCCAAGTGAAGAGAAAGTAATTTTCAAAGCTCTGTAGTTCTTTCAAAGCAGATTATTTACAATAGTTCAGGGTGGAGCTCTTGTGAACATACAGGTTATGTTCTGTGCTATTTTCCCTTATGAGGGTCTCTGTTCAGTTGGTTTTAACTCTGCTGCTCTTTCACTATTTGGACTATTATTTTCTATGTTATATTTTTGCCTGAAACAAAATTGGTTTAGAAAAAAATAATCAGCAAAGATTATTCAGCATTTTTTGGACTAGGTTTGATGATATAAAAATAGTATTTTGCTAGAAGTGATATTTGTTCAACATTTTATGTAAAAGGTCAAGCATCTCAGAAAAGAGAGATGCCACAAAAAATAGATACTGCTTTTTCACCGTCCCTATTCAAACCTCCCCAATCTCATCCAAATTATAAATCCATGGCTTGCTTTCTTTTCACTTGCTTAGTTGAGATTCATTGGGCCTGACAGAATTGCTGGGAAAGGAAACTGATGTTTGAAGTCAGCACTAAGGGCTTTAGGTCCTCCTCCTCGCTGCAAGGACCTGTAGCAGGCACACAGACAAACTTTGCCTCCACAGAGCTCCCTGAGCCTGTTAATAAAGATTTTCCATTTTATCATCCAAGGAAATATGGGGAAGCTTGTCCACAATTGTTCTCATCCTTTTCCCTAGTGATGCCAAGATTGTAAGAAAAGAAGGAGCATTTTACCTCAGAACATGTGTGAGGAGGAGGTAGTAGTCCACAGAGCCAGGTGGAGTTTTAGAAGAGAGACTGGACATAGTCTGTAGAAAGGCAGAAACACGAAGAGTTAATGTAGAGGAAGGGAAACTGTTGCAACATCCCAAAGGGCAAGTATATAAGCTCCCATTAACTTGTGTTTCCACCTACAAGTGTCAAATGCAAGCCTGAATTCATACACTATGGTGGACTGAGAACCCTACAGGGTAATTACTCAAAGGACTGTTAGTCAAGGGTCTGCTAAAGATAAAGGCTGGATACTGGTCACTGCATGTACTAGGAGGAAGGATCCCCCTCCTTCTCAAAATTTGACAGGTAGGACTGGTACCTTCTACAGCAGGTATGAGGCTCTGGAACTAGAAGGCCAGACAACTGATGAGATGGGAAAAGGTCCTTCTGGGGTAGTGGGGTCCCCTAAAACAAAACCAGCTGTACTTCACATCACAAACTCCTCTGTTAAGAGGAAAAGAAGGGTAGCTATAATAGGAGACTCCCTTCTAAGGGGAACAGAGGGCACCATATGCAGACTGGACCCAACTCACAGGGAAGTCTGCTGTCTCCCAAGGGCTCGGGTAAGGAACATAACTGGAAAACTTTCCAGTCTGAGAGCAATCAAAAGAGAGTTCAGAACCCTGGGGTGATTGGTAGAGCGATCAGGAGCACAGGCAATAATTTCCTCAGTCTTTCCAGTAACAAGAAATAATATTGATAGGAATAGGCAGATCCATCAGGTTGATGAGTGGCTCTGAGGTTGGTGTAATTGGAAAAATTTTGGGTTTTTTGACCATGGGATGATCTACTCAACACCTGGTCTACTGACACTTGATGGGCTGTACCTATCTCAAAGGGGAAAAAGAGTTCTAGTGCAGGAGCCAGTGGGGCTTGTTGACAGAGTTTTAAACTAGCTTGGAAGGGGAAGGGGACAAAACCAGGCTTTGTCCATCCCATCGCCAGTGATGAGTGATGGGATGGTGTGTCAAAACATGAGAAAACCAGCGCTCAAGGGATCCCTCAATCTGCTTCAGGAGGTATTGGCTACAATGTACCACACCTGAAATGTTTCTCATCAAAGCATGAAGCATGAGGAACAAACAAGAGGAGTACAAAGCTTTGGCCCAGTCCCAGAGATTTGACACTGTTGGCATAAGTGAAACCTGGTGGGATGAGTCCTTTAACTGGAGTGCCTTGTTGGATGATTACAGACTCTTCAGGAGGGATGGGCAGGGCAGAAAAGGCAAAGGGGTGGCACTGTGTATAATAGAAGGGCTAGAATGTATGGAGCTCACAGTTGGAAATGTCACAGTTGAGAGCCTCTTAGTAAGAATCGAGGGGCAAACTAATAATGTGGATGTCATCGTGGGAGTCTGCTGTAGACCTCCCAGACAGGACGATGATGCCAACGAATTAATCTTTGAGGAACTACAGGACACTTTCAAGTCAACTGCCCTAGTCCTTATGCAGGACTTCAACTTGTCAGAAATTAAATGGGAGTTTCACATAGCTAGTTCAACCTCGGCCAGAAAATTCCTAAAAAACTGGATGCCCTTCTTGATCTGCTGCTTGTCAACAGAGTGGATCTTGCGAGCAAAGTGGAGATTGGTGGCCATCTTGGCCACAGCAACCATGAAGTAATCGAGTTTAAAATCTCTGTTGGCAGGAGAAAAAGTGCCAGAAAAACCTCAGATCTGGACATGAGGAGAGCAGATTTCAGGCTGCTCAGGGAATTAGTAAGTAAGGTCCTCTGGAAAAATGTTTTTCCACGTGCTAAGGTCCATCAGTGCCGGTCACTTTTTAAACATCACCTCCTAAGGGCACAGGAGCAGGCAATTCCCAAATGTCAGAAGTCAGGTAGGCAAGGCAGAAGGCCAGTTTGGCTGAACAGGGATCTTCTCTTGGAAGTAAGGCATAAAAGGAAAGCATATGCCCAGTGGAAACAAGGACAAGTGACAAGGTAAGAATACAGAATGCTGCTCACTGCAATGAGGAGAAAATTCATGTGGCCAAAGCTCAGCTGGAGTTGAAGCTGCCAGAAATGTCAGAGACTTTTAAAAAGAGTTTTTTTCGAATACATTAATGGCAATAGGCAGTACAGAAATATCATTGGCCCATTACAGAATGAGGATGGTCACCTCACAAATAGGGACAGAGACAAAGCAGAGATGTTTAACACTTTCTTTGCCTCTGTCTTCAACACCGATGACAGACCAAGGGGCTCTCAGTGCCCTGAGGTGTAGGACCATGACTGCGAGAATGATCAACTCCCAATCGACCCTGAAATTGTGTGGGATTTGCTGCTCCAGCTGGATGCCTACAACTCTATAAGCCTGATAATATTCATCCAAGAATCCTCAAAGAGCTGGATGATGTAATTGCAAAACCTCTCAATGATTTTTTAGCAGTCTTGGAAACCCAGAGAGGTACCAGCTCACTGGAAGCAATGTCCCCATTTCAAGAAGAGCAAGAAGGAGGACCCTGGAAACTACAGGCCTGTCAATCTCACTTCAATGCCTGGTAAAGTTATGGAAGAGATTATGCTGGGAGGTGTTGAAAAACACCTGAAAGACAACACAGCCATTGGTCACAGCCAGCATGGATTCCTGAAAGTCCTGTTTATCCAACCTGATTTCCTCTTATGACAAAGTAACCCACCTAGTTGAACAAGGGAAGCCAGATGACGTAATATTTTTGGATTTCAGTGAAGTTTTCAATATTGTCTCTCACAGAATCCTTCTGGACAAAATGTCCAGCCCACAGTTGGATAAACACATCATGCAGTGGGTGAGCAAAGAGCTGTATAATCATACTTTTGAATCTTTCCCTTAATTCAGCTGGTTTTTAATTTGTGCTTTAAAGAAACAAGCAAAAAATCCCCAAACAAATCCTTCTAAAATCAATCCAGTGAACTGAGTATTGGAAAAGAAACCCCAGAAAACCAGCAGCAGGCCTCACAAAACTTGGAGCGCTTTTCATCTTTTCCAAATAGTGGAAGCTGACCACTTACTGGACCTACGAAGTGGTTTACGGCTAAGGCTGAAGGAAAATGTTACCTTTCGAACTGAAGGAAAAACAAGCATATAGGGAAAACATAGAATCTTCCCTGTTTTGTAAGTATTTTTGCTGATCTCGCTGCCTTCTTGCAGAAATTGTTTTTCTAAGCATATGGAATTTTGTTCTGTGTATTGTCTCTGCAAAGTGTGTTTGTTTTAATGTTTGACATATGTGAAATTCAGCTTTGGTGGTTATATTACAATCTTAAAATAATGTTTACCCCTACCATGAATTCACTTTTTAGAGTTTGCAAATGCCTGGGTACTAACTCTCTGCTGTGCTTGAAGTGCAGCCACAAAGAAAGTTCTTGTTAGAATTTAAGATGCGAAGATCCATTTCTGCCTAACCATCTCCTACTTCTGCATTCCCTGAAGTGTATCCCATCTGCTTTTGGGAGCTCTCATTGCAATATGCAGTGATTGCAGGATAAGCACACCATTTTCCTGTCAATACTTTCCTATTAGCCTCCTGGATCCATACATCATCGTCTTGCTGGCCTGCAGTTTGCTTATCTTTGTCTCTGAGGCTGCCTTTGATTTATCTAACACCCAGGTTAATGAGGCATGGAGCCCAGGGTGGCTCCAAGGATAATGCACTCCTGTATAAAAATGCTTAAGGAAGGATCAAGTGATAATCCATTCTAGACTAAAAGGCCTAGCTCTTCAACAAATGTTGTATTTCTTAATCACTGAGCTAAGACTGTAATAGCTCCCTGTTAAGCTACTGCCATCCGTAAAACTAAGCCCACTAACTATATGAATTTACAAAAGAACTGAAAATTAGATTTTAATTTGTGTTCCAAAAAATGCAAAAAAAAAAAGTTCATTTCTTAGGAACAGTTATCACCATTATTTGACAGTGTTCTTATGCAAAAATAAGTTAGCTTTAATATTTAATTTACAGTAATAGTTTTATATTCCCTCACTGGGACTTATGTTTTTCTAAAGATAAAAATAACAGAAGCTAGAATGTTACTGTGGCAAGGATAAATCAAACTAGCTATTTCAATAATGGAGGTAATTACAAAGTGTATATATCTGAGATGTACTGAGTGGTTAGGGGTTGTTTAATTAACATAAAAATTTCAATATCATCAGCAAGTGTGTTGGTATCACAAAAGCATTGTTAAAAATGCATCTTAAAATAGTTATGCCTTTCTGTCTTCCTAGATACTACATAAGACTAATATACATTTACTTCCCATTTCTGCTAATTACCAACTTGCACAGAAATAATTTAATGAAAGCAAGGTGAAGATCCAAGCAAGCTTATTCGTTTATTTTAAAGTGCTCTATCACATTTTGTTGGCTGTTTTGGCTTCTTTTTTTGGATCTTGTTTTGTTTTGTTATGCATGGTTGGCCTTCATATTATGAATCTGCTGCAGGCTCCTGAAGTACAAGTAATGTATAACCATTTAGAATAGCACCAAATAATGGGATCACTCCTATGGGATGCCATGCTCATGTTTTGAAGTAAAAGACATGCACAAGCAAGGCATTCACCAACTGGCCCACCACAGTCCCCAAGGACTTGACCCAGGTAATAAGTCCTTTACTGGTCACTAACCTACATTATTGAGATTTAGTTTGGATTTTGATGACATGACACTGTTAAGGGTTGTTATTGAGATGTAAATGATCTTCTGTTGGGTTATTTAAGACACATGAAGGACCTAGTTTAGAATGAAAATTAGTTATTGATTATTCCAGCAATTAACAAAATAAATTTTAGAACCTGTATTAACATTTTCAGAAGTCTTAAATTATATTTAGCTCAAACTGACCCAAGGATCTAGACTGATTCCTTAGCAATCTTTAAGATGTTTTGAAAAAGGAAAACAAAGATAAATAAATATTGCTGTGCTCTTATATCTACTATAGATCACAGTGGTATGTGATGCAGTTGTCTATACAGTTCTACAGTGTGCTCCACAGATTCTTTAGTATTAAAGACAAGTTTGGAGCATATATAAAAGTAAAATATCCATCCTGTTTGTTTCATCTTCTTTTTTGAATATTTTATCATTAGATTAACAGAGTTAATTTTCTTTACTTGCATTTCTTTCATTAGTACTTTGAGTTTCTTTACCTAAAACATCCTGAGATAGGAGGTAGTCTTTTCGGATACCCATTGTTATTTATAAGCATCTTGTATTGATAGCACAATTATTAACAATATACATTTTCCTATCTCACCTAGGAGTGTTTTACTTTATTGCTACATATTTTAACTAGGAGATGGGTTTCTTGTATTTTTCTCATGGAGTAGTGCTAAGAAAGCTTTAGAGGCTGTTACACCCACCCAAAAGGTCACATAGCATGTGCCACTATGTATTTGGTTTGGTGGCAAAAATCAGATAATTCATTATATGAATATATTTTAGAGCAAACTCAGCTTAGTCTTCTCTTTTTCTATGCTGCAAGCTCCAGCCAATGAAGGGTATTAGGCACTAAAGAGAGATGCATCCTGTCTTGTTATGATTTTACTGTTTGGGTCCCAGTGATACTTTTATATATAAAATATTTAGGTAGGGAAATGGCACAAGCAGCACAACTGGACTGCTAGAACTCATTACTTAATGTGCTGTCTGTAGATAGTACCACTGAACTCACTGAAAGTAATACTGCGGTCACGTGATGTCTTTTGTGATGCTGTATCGTCTCAGGATCCTCCACACCTCAGATAACATTACATGGAAAATTAGCTGCCTACCCACTGCAGTTTGAACAAGGTTTTAAGAAAACCCTTCCACACAGTGATATTTCAGTTTAAAAGTCTCTTTTAAAATTAGCAGCTAATAACAGCAGGTCAGCATTTTCTAACATTGACTTTCCTTGAATAATTTCCTCTGTCTTATTACATACTTTTTTCCTGCTCTTTCAATTCTGTTGTTCAGATACAGGCAAAGAACCCACTGATTTAAAAGAGTTTTATATCGTCTTATTATGAATCCCTGTCACCAGTGTAACATCTGAATCATCAGGAATGATACTTAACTACTCTTTCAAGACATGACAGACTGCATTACCTCTGATATTAGCGGAGGTTTTCATGAATGGGTATTTACAGAGGCTTTCACATCACTCTCTACACCCATTAACCATATAATACCAGCCTGGTCATTTTTGGTTTGTATGGGTTTTTGTTTGCTGATAAGTCAAATAAGACATAAGCAGCAACTCCTGGCATATTAATTTTTTTAAG